CTTTTAGGCATTTCCATATACAGTTCAAAAATACAAGAAATCTGATAATAACCACGCCCACCTCCCATACAAAGGTTATGTTGAAAATCACTAAAAGTGCGTTAACCGACTAAGAAGAACCGTCAGAATCACTAAATTTTACAGAAGAAATGTCAGAAGGAAGCTGCATCCAGCCTTTTTTTTTAAATTGAAAATGGGCGTGGCGTCGCCCATTTATGGACCAAATACTATATCTCAGGAAGTACTCGACCGATTTCAATGAAATTCGGTATGTAATATATTCCCGACACCCTGATGACATGTACAAAATATGGGTGAAATCGGTTCACAACTACGCCTGAAATCTCGATTATCACTTTATCATGTGAGAGTATAAAATGTTCGGTGACACCCGAACTTAGCCCTTCCTTACTTGTTTTGTACTAAGTAACCTGCATACCAGGTTTCATCAAGATATCTAAATTTTTTCTCAAGTTACAGCTTGCACGGATGGACGGACAGGCAGACGGACCCAGATTTCAACTTTTTTCGTCATGTTGGTAATTTTTATAAAAATAACCCTATATCTATCTCGATTATTTTTATATGATAACTACAACCGTTTGGTGAACAAAACTATAGTACTCTGTAGAAACTGGTTGCAAGAGTATAAAAATACGTTTAATGTAATTGGAGTGCATCTCTATGTTTTGTTGCATCTGTTGATTTAACATGTCATACAGGGTCCGGCACTCGAAGTGTAACCAACTACAGACCGTTCGCGCAGCTCTCGCACTGAAATCAGCTATTTATAAATATTGAGTATTGTTCACAAGTGTATAAAAGCATTTTGCCAAAAGTGAACGCAAAAAAGCTATCAGCGATGGAATTCAAACGTAATAGTGTGATTGCTTTATATTTAGCAAGAAAATCACAGCCAGCAATTTAATAATAACAATACCCAACGATTACCCTCCTCCCGCCCAACCGACACGCGGGGCGCAATCCGCGAACGAGCGGAATTAGCCGAGTCATAAAAGGCAGGAGAGTTTTAAGCGTTGCGATCTTAAGCTGCTCAGCTACAGAAACAAAAATTTCAACAGCCAAAATTAAGAATTAGATTAAAGTTTATAATTTTTAAATGTTACTTGTTAAGAGTAGATAAAATAGTTTTTTTAATGGTAAAGAGAGAATCTGTTAGATCAAATGTGCTGGAATGAGAATTGAAATCGTGACATATACGGCTGAATGGTTCGCTTAACTCGAAATTTGTTCTAGAAAATTTTAAAAGCAAAGGTTTAAACTTCCTGGTAGAGCGAGCGGGAATGTTAAAATTAATATTAGATAAGAAAGATAGACCGATTGATGAGTTTTACAAGAAATTAATTATTTTATATTATACCAAGAATTTCCCTACGACTAGCGTGTAGGGAGATTTATAAGTTTTAAACGGTTAGTATAAGGGGGAAGATTTAAACTGGAATCCCAATGCAAATGATTTAAGGCAAAAAGTAAAAAATGTTTTTGAACGGACTCTATTTTCTCAGAATGAACTAGATAACAAGGGTTCCATACCATGGAAGCATACTCTGATATAGGCTTCACCAAAGATGTAAAAAGAATTTTCGTGGCAAGCGAATCTCAATCTTCTTAGACCAACGTTTTACAAAAAATTGTTCGTAAGTTCAAACACCTTAACGCGAGTAAAATTTTTTTATCGGACCATCACTCGTTACAATGATACTGATAGCATCGCAAACGCCATGGAGGTGGCCATCAAAAGACTGCAACGTCACGTGAGATGGTTCGGAAAGTGAAGAAGCGACTTGAGCGAAACGACACAGTGCTTCCGACGCATATTGAAAAATGAGCTCAAGGTCAAGCCTTACAAGCTCCAAAAAGCCCATGATCTCACACCAAAGCAGCAACAAGTAAGACTTGAGAGAGCGAAGCAGTTGCTTCGCTTTACCGAAAGCGGTCAAATTCCGAACATTGTGTTTTGTGACGAAAAATTTTCCAATCAAGCAATTTGTAAACTCTCCGTCTTACAAAGCGCAAGTGGACCAAGTTGGCCAAATTACCGGCAAGTCACATTCGGGCAGCTTGCGATTCGTTATTTGACCGTCTCAAGTCCATAGTTAAGATCTTCACACACTTTCTACTTTAAAATAAATAAAAATTATTTTCCAAACCGAATTTATGGCTTTTTTAATTGGTTACAATTGTGGTTGATTGCCGGACCCTGTATGTATTGTACTAGATTTTCTTGTTTTTATTAAAAGAATCGAATAAAAAATAATTTTAATATAGTTTTTTAAGTAAGTTTAACCAATATTTCTGCTTATACAATACATATACAAATAAACTGGAAGATAAATCAAGTGGTTCGAATTTGTGAACGTCGACTGTAATCATTTAAAGTCGCAAACTTGTGGTACTTTCAGTGACATTCATACAATAAAATGACTATAAGTTTTGGTTTATTCGATGTAAAATGTAAGTATATTTAAATATGTGACCTGGTCTACGAAAAGGCAGCTAACGTGCGAAAACTAGTTTTCTGGGAAACAGCTGTTAAAAATAAACAACTCGTTTCGTCAGTTCTCCTTATCTCATTAATTGTTCTCCTTTCCAGAGGCTTCAAGAACGTCCAGAAAGTGTTGTTTTTGGTCGGAATATTATTATAGTTCATCGTGTAAGTTGCTAGTGTGGAACATTTAAAAAAGTGGCACTGAAGAACTGACTTGTATTCATTCATCTCTCCTTCCGGATGTTCTGTTATCACATTTGTGTAAGTGTTTCTGTTGATTATTGTCTTCACATTTCGCATGAAATGAAAYATGAGTGTTGATGAGGAGTTCAGTGCCGTATATGTCCAATATTTATATGAAGACGAAGTATGTGTATCTCAGGCAGAAGATGATACCGAACAAACTTTTGTTAAGATTGACCTGTCTGTTGTTGAAGTAAAGGAGGAGGAGCTGGTAACAAAATTTCTGTCAAAAGATTGTTTAATAATAAATGTCATACACTGATACTACGGGAAATGGTCGAGAGTACGCGGAACAATTGTTTAGAGATGTCGAAAATTGAACTTGATTTAGTGATACTAAGTCACACCGAAGCTAGAATTATGAGTAACGAAAAGCTAGAAGGTGTATACGCAAAGCTTGCTGGGCGGAAAAAATATGGTCAGAGACAGGATACAGAAGTTATGAGGCATAATATTACATTTACCTTCTACAGAGTACCTGTTTGTCGTTCGTTTTTCCTTTTTGTACATGCGTGTGGGAAGAAGCGTTTCGAACATTTAGTACGTCATTTTGCCTCACAGGGTGTAACAGTGCGCCAACAAGGACTGGCAAATAAACTAAGTACACATCCAAAGTTATTTAAACCGGCTGACATCGAAAAACCTGTTAAATTCATCGAGTCTATAGCCGATTTAATGGCTCATCCACTGCCCGGACGATTCCCAAGAAAAACAGGGATTTTCGGATAATGAAACTGCCATCGGGCGAGACTCAATTTATCGAAAATACATTGCTTCACTCAGTGATGACGAATTGAAGATGAGTATCGCAGTTTTCGACGGATATGGTCCAAATACAATTACAGACGAAAAACAAAAGGTTCAGGTTAGAATTTCAACTGAATCATAGAAACTCGAATTGCCCGCCTTTACAGGATCTTACTTATATATATATATTTTTTTTACAGTACAATTACATGCTAGACGAAAAAAATGACGTTGGTAAAGGACCGAACTGTGTTGTGAGCATCCTGCATTATCACCTGGAAACGTACTATAAAGACATTGAAACACTCGTTCTTTTCTATGACAATTGTGTTGGGCAGAATAAGAATAACACTGTGCTATCATATCTGTAATGGCGTTTGGCTCGGGGTCTTAACAAAACTATTTTATTCAATTTTCTACTTACAGGGTACACTAAGTTCGCGCCTGATCGTTACTTCGGTATTTTCAAAAGTAAGTATACTGTCAGTAACATCGACACGTATGCAGATTTACTGCAGTGTGTCGAGTCATCATCTCCTGGGGGTTATAATAAAGCTGTATCGCCTGAAAAAGTCGTCCGGTATGAATGGGACAGTTATTAAACCACTGTACAAGTCACTTGTTGGAATAACGCAATTTCATCATTTCATAATCTTTACAGATTGTGTAAAAACAAAGAAATTTGCAGACATTGAAGAAGTGCAGTCCTTTAAGCTTCTGTTAAAMCYTATCGATCCTGAAATGCCGAAAGTTATACAACCAGCCGGTTTATCTTTGGAACGTCAGTGGTACATCTATCACAATCTTCGCAGCTCAGTTTCGAATATATCTAAAGTAGATATTGTGGCTCTACTGCCGAAAGATTTGCCATCGAGGAAACGGAAGGCAAAAACTAGTGAAGATGTTCTCAAACCAGACAAGGAACCAGGTCCATCTTCCTCCGGATCAACACGTAAAAAGATCTCAAGAAAAACGACAACAAAGAAAAAAACATAAACTACTCAGCATTATTATTTTTGGCCCATAATACGTTTTTCTAGCGTATAATCATGTCTTTATAGCTTATAATTCAATATATTTTGTTCATTACAAAAAAATTATATTTTTTCGTATTTTTACTCTTCTTTCTCTACATTTTTAGGGAACTTTCAAACAAGTTTTTGATTTTATCACGTGAAAAAGCATCTCATCTTCCATCCGAATCAACTAAAAAGTGAAAATTGATTTTTTGACACCTAAGCCCCCTTTCCGTAGACCAGGTCACATATAATGATGTATTATTTGGTTATTTTAAAATTAATTGGTCAAATATTTTTAGAAAAAAACGACCACGGATAAATAAAGAACTTCTGACTTATGCAATATTGCCATGGAAGGCTCATTTAAGCCAAGTTGGCATTTTGCCACTATTAAATAACTGCCATGTTAAATGAGTACTCTTGATATCTTTATAATTCGTAACGATGAGTATTAAAAATACTTTTGTTGTAATTAGATTTACCTCACGCGCTTCTCGATATTATTTCGGAAAACTTCACGAAAATCATGTTGGGAGCACGCTCCCGATTGCACCATTTTTTGTACGCGCTCTGATTTCAGGAAAACATCATGATAACTTTGTACAGCATTTTGAAAGGCTTCATCAGCCATTATTTGTGTTTCGCCCTTTAGAAAAGCCTAAAATAAGATTATTTTCACAAATTTTATCATTTGGTAAGAACATGGAAGTACTTGAAATCGCTGAGTAATTGTTTCCAATTGTTGCTTGACTATTTTAGGTTGCCTCTTGGTCATGTCAGTCGGCTGCTTAGCATTGAATGGATACGATATACAACGTGAAACAAAAACATATAATTGTATACGCCGCTTGCGATCCTCTTCTTCACGTTCATGTTTTTCCTAGAATTCATAAAAGAAATAACTCACTACAGAATATTTACAATAACCAAAATGAAAATAAAAGCAAATAAATTATTAAAATCGACCACATCGAAGCTATAGTACGCTTATTTTTGTAATGGCGGTGCTAATTCTGGATAAGTAGGACTCTAACCTGCTACAATATCCTGAGCTGAAGTTGAGCAACTATCACTCCAGATGGTCGTGGCAACTCGAACTCTCTTCCCGCAGCTATATATTATATTGGTTGTTGTTGTTTTAACGGTTATCTAATCCCCGTTAGGATGGTAAGGGTCATTTGTGTCGTCGAGGTCATCTAACGGGAGTCCCAGGAAACGTGCTGTTTCGACGGGGTCGGACCCAAGGGAGGAGGGTGTTAGATGAGTAGGATTTGTGGGGCCAGTATCATGCTCGTTGCATGCAGGATATACATTGTGTATGTCAGGGTCGATTCTGGATAAGTAGGAGTTGAACCTGCTACAATATCCACAACGAAGTTTCACTAGGGTCACCCGCGTTTCTCGCGCCAACTGAAGCTCTTCGCCTGCGATACTTGGTGATTTGACTCCAAGAACGCCATTCAGGGAAGGGAGTCGGTGAAGGTATTAATGGCTCCACTGTAAATGGCGTCCGAAGTTCGATCTGCGTACTGTACGACGTCGTCGACGTAGTAAAGGAAGGACCTTTTGGTGCTCGTAGGAGGCGGCTCCGCTCAAGGCAAATGACTGCAAGGGTGATTCCTACGGAAACATCCTAGCAGGAACTGTTTAGAGAGAAGTTCATTATTCTCCTTTACAGGAAGCATAAGCGTCTCACTGTATAGGTGTTCGATGGGAGACATCAAGAGGCATCCCGTCGTAGTCCGGAGTGCTGTGTTCTGACAGGTCTGTAGTTTACTCATCTGCGTGCCACTGCATCCAGGCGACCATATTGGTGCTGCGTAGTTTCTTTGTCTTTTTCCCATGTGCCGCCGGCTAGTGACTTGAGGATCTTGTTGCGGCTCTGTACTTTGGCAATAATCGCGGTCGTATGGGGAGTGAAGGAGCATAAACTATTAAAGGTTACTCCTAAAATCTTAGGGTTTTTGGCAGTCGAAATTTTGACGGCATCGACTGCAATACTAAGTTAATGTCTATATTCCTTCGTCCAGTTCGTAAATATGGTCACCGTGGAATTGGTGGGGGGACGTGTGAGGTTTCGTGCAGTGAGGAAACGAGAAAGGTCGGAGAGGTAGTTGTTTACTTTCGAACACATGCCATCGATTCCATTGCCCAACGTCAATATCATGCAGTCATCTGCGTATGAGTTTATGGAAATACTCTCTGGTGGTTGCGGGAGTTTCGAGATGTACAAGTAAAATACTAACGGAGAGAGGACACCACCCTGTGGAACCCCTTGTTTAACTCTTCTCAGCTTAGATGTTTCACCTAGAAATGTTACGGATGATTGACAACAGCTCAAGTAGTTCATGGTCCACCTCTTCAGTCCTGAAGGAAGCGTAGTTTTCTCTATGTCCTGCAGTAGCCTTCTGTGGTTGACTGTGTCGAAAACTTTCGACAAGTCCAACGCTACGAGGAGCGTTCTCTCACAGGGTGGTTTCTGGTTGAGGCCACGGACTATGTGAGCGTTTATGACGCTAAGTGCTGTGATTGTGCACTTTACTTAATCCATACTAGTGGATGGCTAGGCTCAGGTGGTGAGTGAAAGTCGGGAGTAGCAAGGCCTCAAGTGTCTTCACTACTGGGGAGAGGAGAGTTATCGGGCGATAAGATTCCCCTTTGTCGGCGGGTTCCTCAGGTTTCAATAGTGGGAAAACGACACACATCAGGTATTTGAAGAGTGGTCAGTGACAGGTTGAGGACCTTGGTGAGATAACTTACTCCCCTCGGGTCTAGACGCTTTAGCATAAGCATGTTGATTCCATTAGGGCCAATGGATTTGGAGGATTTACTTTATTGATGACATTCAGAACCTCCTCATCGGTAAAAGTAAGCGGCGCGCAGTTGTTTGGCATTTTGCACAGCCGTCGAGTAACACATCTCTTTGCGTTGCCTACCGAAGAGTGCAGTGTAAACTGCAGGCTAAAATAGCTCGCGAACTTCTTCGGGTCCGAGGTGGTATGACCATTAAATTGAACTTCAACTAGGTCGTCATGTCTCTTCGGGTTAGACAAAGCCTTGACAGTAGCCCAAACCTTACTCACACCGGTGAAGAGGTTGCAGAACTTCAGGTGCTCTATCCATTTCGTAGGCGTATGATGATTTACCTATCGCCGAATCTCCAAATTGAGATCCCTCATTCGGAGAAGCGAGCGGAAGCTGCTGCGATCACCTTGCGGAATTGACGTTCGCCAACGCATACGTCCGTAGGAATGGTTAGTGCGTTGAAGGTGCTAAATTCTGTGAAGCGGACAAAATTAACTTTGTTAAAGTTAATGAAGGTACGGTTGTCCACAGAAATGAAATCAGGAACTTCTCGATCGAGATAATTATGGGCAGATGCTCTGATGCGACAGTTAGCATAGGGCGCGAAGTTATGCTATTTATCAGACAACCACTAGCGATGGTGGTTCGATATCGCCGGTTCAAAATAATAAACAGCTTCTTGGGAACGTGTGCAAAATTTAAGAACGATATCTCTCAACTGAAGAAATAGTTCGATTAAATCGTGTCAGCTCGTCACGCTGATACTTTATAAGGTCTTCGAATTATGCTCAAAAAATTCGAAATCAAGTTTTTTTGCGTAAGATTCACTACATCACATTACATACGTACAGATATGTATAAAATCTTAATATTAAATTTATTTTCTTCGCACTGTCCTATTTGATTTGCAATTTGCAACCTGCACTGGTACTCATGACATCTCAGTTATAAACACAAACATGTTTTGTTGACTCCGAAACATTATTTGTGCCAAATAATTAATGTAACGCTTCATTTAAAAACAAAAATTGTTAAAATTTAAAATAATGTATGAAATTTGTCAACTTACATGCACGGCTCCATCATTTTTATCGCTCACAACGGACGGTGACGGCGATATTGGTCGAGGTAGAGAATTTGCACGTGATGAGCCAACACTTTGGTTGAGAGTCTCTTGTGATATACCGCTGCAAGTTGGTTCAATTATAAATTCTATTAATATTACAGTTATCATAAGTATAGCGATTTTGAAAATTTTGCATGTTCAAATTATAACCAATACTACTACCATGAACTCCAAAAGATCTTTGCATTAAAATACCTGATGTACATACTACTGTGGGCAAAAATTGTAAGACTTTTTAAATAAAATTTCAGGCGAGAACCCATTCGTCGAAATATTTTTTTCCATATTTGTATGACTGTCAGTGACATTTGTCACATAAAAATTATCATTGGAGTTTAGCATATGCATGTCTATCTGATGTACATAAAGTGCATTCGCCGATTTTTGCGATGTGTGAAATTATTCAGAAACAAGTTCAAAGAATTCTGCGAGCAAGTGTTTTTGATTGATACAAACTATTCAGTGCGGATCGAAAACGCTTTTACAACGAACCACGTCCGGGATGAATATCAAGATTAATTGCTGATCAACAAGTCAATAAAATAAAAAAAAATGGTGCTTGACAATCGACGATTAACAGTCAGAGATCTTGCCGGAATCGTTGGAATAACGGAAGGATCAGTGAAAACCAGTTTGAAAGATCATTTAGATCTAAAGAAAAAGTTTAGTTCGAAAAACACCATCGCATTAACGTCTGTGAAACAATGCTTTTGGACTACCAGGATGTCATGAAACGTAAACTTTGTTTCATTGCCATAAATTATATTTCTGGGAAGTACTAATAAAGTCCCCATTCCTAAAACGAATGATGTTATCTAAAACTTTAACAAATTTATACAAACAACTTTTTTCTAACGGCTGGTAGTAAACGGAAAGCTCTGAAAACGGTGTTTCATTGCTATAAAGAAACTCATACCGATCAGTTTCATTTAGAGCTATAAATTATTTTTATTAAATTATATTAGCTTACCGAGAATGCGGCGCAAAAACATACTTAACGATAAAGAGAATAGAGCTATAGACGTTTGAATGGTAAGGATTGGACCAAATGCGTCATTGTTCGGAATTAGGGAAGGTCTGTGCACCACTATTACCAGTAATTACCTAAACAACAAAGAAAATTATGGTCAGAGAACTTACTGTGGTGGAAGGAAAAATTATTAACACGCGACAGGAAAGAGAAATTTGTTGACAATTGACAAATAAAATTACTTCAATATGGAAAGTGAAAAGACAGAACCAAATTTCCGCATCCATTTCAATAATTTGGCGGGCTGTGAAACGAAATCATAATATTTCATGAGAGCAAATGCAGAGAGTGCCTCTCTTAAAACCACACCATAAAGAGTATCGTCTGAGTTTTGCGCGAAATAACAAGAATAAAGACGGGCAATAGGAAAGATTAAGAAAAATAAAATTTTGATTAATAGGGTTGTGGATATTGTGCTTGCAACAAAACTTATTGGTCATTTTTTCCGATGAAAAAAAATTCATCTTTCTCCAAAAATCCAATTTTTCTCCTTCCCTTTCAAGGAAAACGTGGCTTTAACATAAAAATACTGATCTTTTGAATTGGCCGGCTTGTTCTCCTAGTGTAAGTTCTGTTGAGAACATCTGAAGATGGCTATTAGGAAAGGTTTACAAGGATTTTCGTCAATTTAATACGATTTCTGAGATTAAAGAGCTCTTTTGGATACGTGGGCTCAATTAACACCATAAATGCTTTCTACTTACACCAACTCAATGCTAAATCGAATATTCGCACCTTTTAATTATAATCAAAACACAAAAAATTATTAGTAAAAAAAATTAATTTCTTTATTTCCTTTTTTTCGTGGTGGAAGAGCTATCTTTATAGCAACGAAACATCTTTTTTCAGTCCCTTCCGCTTACTAGGCACAAGTGTATCTACTGTTTAAAATTGAACATGTTCGTTGCTACCAAAGGGCGGAACGCACCAATATATTTAATTCTTTTTTACATATTCTACATATTAAGAATCTATATATATTAAAATGAAAGTATGTCTGTATGTTCCGGGCAGGCTCCGAAAAGGCTGAACCAATTGCAATGAAACTTTCACGAAATCTTTAGCTTGACCTGACGAGTAATCCTGCAAAGTTTTGTGACGATCGGAGTACTTTTTTTTAACTGTCAAATTCAGTTTTTATTTACTATGATGATATTCTAGTGTTTTACAACCCAAATTTGTGTTGAAACATGCGTTGTGGATGTATATGTCAATATGAAACATATTTAAACACCAACTTGCAATATTGGCAAACATTCTGGTATGTGTAAAGTCCTCAAAACGTGTTAAATTAAAATTTGGGATAAATGGGACCATAAAAGACCCTGCGCGATTTTACAGGAAATGACCAACCAATGGGAGGTGTTCTTATTCTTCTTTCTTGTGACTTCCGTCAAACTTTGCCGGTTATTTCGCGTTCAACTCCCGCAGATGAGCTAAACGCTTTCCTGAAGTCTTCATATCTTTGAAGAAGAGTCGAAAAAATCACGCTCTCAACGAACATTCGTGTTTATTTACAGCAAGCCTCATCTGCTCAAACATTTTCGCAACAACATGGGTAACGGCCAAATTCCAATTGATCCTGCGACAAATGACATTTAATTTCCACAAGATTTTTGTCGAGTGCAACCAAATATGCAAGCTGTTGTCGACAAAGTATTTCCAAATATAATAATTAATTACAAAAATTCGAATTGGCTTTATGAACGCGCAATTTAAGCACCAAATGATCAAAATCAATTGAAACTTCCCGTCGAAGAAATCAATTATAAGGTAATCGACACTCTCATCTGGAAGGCCGCCACACACACTAAAATTGAAAACTGGATTACCTATAATGCTCATTTGCAATTTAAACGCGCCTGAATTATGCAGCGGAACAAGCTTAACAATTAAAAAATTTCACTAAATTTAGTCGAAGCCACAATCATCGGTTTATATTCAAATGCGACGACGTACTGATTGGTGAATTAGTGTTTTTCACACGGTCAATTGGCTTACTCCCGAGTTGGCACATATGTATAAAAACTTATACGTTAATACTCCAAATGAAAATACGAAAAATGTAGTCTACCCACAGGTGAGCTAACAAACTGATGAGTCTGCTGTGTGAAATGGACATCGCTCATATTGTATATATTTATAATTACTAGCTTTTTGTTCTATTAATTTAATTAATATTTGATTTTTTTATTCACATATTGAAACAAAAGACTTTTATCTGCCATTTACATCTGATGAAATCATTTTACAATTTTTATGATTTTTAATTTTTCGCTAAAAAAATAAAAAATCTTAAAAAGTTGGAGCAATTTACAATGTTTTTTTAAATTTCATGAATCATTATAATTATTCCTTAATTGTAATCAACATTAATATTTTAAAAATACCTAATGTTTCATAAGTATTTATTAATGTCCTTGATTCGTAGATAATTCACATTTACCATGCCCAAGCCATGCGTCATACTTTCAATTCTGGCATTAACTTGAGCCCGATATGTTTTTGTATCAATGATATGAACGATACTCTATTTACTAACATGTATGTACACGAGTGTAGGCAATAATCTTCACCCCCTCGAAGAGAGACTAGAAGAAAATGAATAGCAACATAATTGAATAATTTAATAAAATCAAGAGATAAATTAAATATTTTTTGTTCTAATTTTATTGGAAAATAGAGCAAAATATAGTCCGGCGAAGCGGGCTGGGCACGCTGGTATTAAATAAGATAAGAAAATAAATTACACAATAAATTATGTAAGTTCAAATAAATTGAACATCAAAACAAATCAAATATATAATATACCAGGTTATTCAATAAATTTTGTCGTTTGATAAGAAAAACACAATTTTATGATTCAAAATACACTCAATTATAAAGTAGAATCTCCCTGAACATTAATACACTTGCTCCAACGATTCTGTAATCTGTGGATCCCATTTATGAAGTGAGAGTCCGAAATGTCTGCAAAATACAGCCGTTATGACCTCTTCATTTAATGAAAAACGCTTGCCACGCATAAATTTTTTGAGTTCTGAAAACAAATGGAAGTCCCTGGAGACCAAATCTGTTGAATACGGTGAATGCTCCAACAATTCGAACTTTAATTCATGAACTTTAGCCATTATCAAAATGCTCTGGTGAAACGTCCTGAAACAAAAGGATTTTTGTCTTCTGCAAACCGGCTCTTTTTTTTTTCCTTTACTCTTTAGCCTCTGGTTTTGATTCACAATCATGGTGATAGACCCAAATCTCATCCATAGTGATGAGTCCACGAACAAAATCCACTTTGTCCTTTTTGAATTGCTACAAATGTGGCTGAGGAAGTCGTATTCGAATGTGTTCTTGTTCCATTGTTAGCGAATGCGGCACCCATTGTGAACACAGCTTTCTCAAACCCAAAATTTTACTTTAAATAAGGCTCACCCTGCCTAATGAGATGTGTAGATGTGAGGAGAGATGATGAGAGAGAGATGAGAGATGTGTCGTTTTGGAGGTTATGTCAAGATCTTTCAAAGTGTAGAGTATTGCCGGATGCGAGCTCTCTAGTGCTTTATAAATTTATAAATACCTGCGAAATTCAAAAGACAAAAAGGCGGAAGAGAGATATTTTCGACCCTAATATTTAATTAGATACGTAAGATTCTCAAAATTGTATATAAAGGCTTGAAATACTCAAAAAAAAAAAATTAGAATGAAATATTTCTCAAGAAAGAACTTTATTTTCCCCACCTCTGGTAAGAACTTAAAGAATCTTATTTGAGTTTTAACATTCGATCTTACAAATCAAACAAGAACTGTTAGAAAAAAAAATATTTTTTATACAGTAGTTGGACTATAGAGTTTTAAAACAACATCATTAAAATAACAACAACATCTAAAGCGGGAGCACATTTTCTATAGTATTTCACAGAAATATAATGTCTTTATAGCAATGAAACAAAGTGTATTATTACTGGTGGTGAGTATTGGATCTATGCTTACAACCCGGAAACAATCAGGAGAAGGTGAGCCGAAGCCGAAAACTCCAAGCTAAAGCAAATTTACATGTGATATTGATGTCAAATTTTTGATGAGAAAGGCAAACATTCTCATTGATCAGTAGTATACAAATTCAGTCAAATATTCTGTTGTTATACTCTCGCAACAAAGTTGCTAAAGAGAGTATTATAGTTTTGTTCACATAACGGTTGTTTGTAAGTCCTAAAACTAAAAGAGTCAGATATAGGCTTATATATACCAAAGTGATCAGGGTGACGAGTAGAGTTGAAATCCGGATGTCTGTCTGCCCGTCCGTCTGTTCGAGCAAGCTGTAACTTGAGTAAAACTTGAGATATCATGATGAAGCTTGGTACACTTATTTCTTGGCTTCGTAAGAAGGTTAAGTTCGAAGATGGGCGAAAACCGAAAACTTATAAAGTGTCATAACTAAGCCATAAATAAAGATATTAAAGTGAAATTTGGCACAAAGGATCGCATTAGGGAGGGGCATATTTGGACGTAATTTTTTTGGAAAAGTGAGCGTGGCCCCACCCCCTACTAAGTTTTTTGTACATATCTCGGAAACTACTATAGTTTGTCTACCAAACTCTACAGAGTTGTTACATTCAGGCATTTCCATATACAGTTCAAAAATGGAAGACAGCGGATAACAACCACGCCCACCTCCCATACAAAGGTTATGTTGAAAATCACTAAAAGTGCGTTAACCGACTAAGAAGAACCGTCAGAAACACTAAATTTTACAGAAGAAATACCAGAAAGAAGCTGCACCTATGCTTTCTTTAAAAATTGAAAATGGGCGTGGCGTCGCTCACTTATGGACAAAAACCACATCTCAGGAACTACTCGACTGATTTCAATGAAATTCGGTACATAATAGTTTCTTAACACTATGATGACATGTACGAATATGGGTGAAATCGGTTCACAATCACGCCTTCTTCCAATATAACGCTATTTTGAATTCCATCTGATGCCTTCTCTGTATAATATATACATATACGGTATTTGATGTGAGAGTATAAAATGTTCGGTGACATCCGAACTTAGTACTTCCTTACTGGTTTTATTTTTATTTTTCCCCTAATTAGAAAAGTGAGACCTTTTCGAAAACATTGTAAGACATGTCAAATTATACGGGAAATCAATGAACTATCATTTGAATTAATTTTATCACTGAGATACAGAAATTTTGACGTAAAAAGACACAAAGAGAAAACAACAAATATAAATACTTCTGAAAAACTAAGAACCAATTATTTATGGTAAAGGGTACAAGGAATACAAAACTTAATTTATATAGTAATTATAGTATAAAATCTATGAATCACTTGTACAAGGTGCGTAAATCTATGCATATATTAGGTTGTCAAAAAAGTCTTGCGGTATTTTTGCTAGTTGGCGCTGAGAGCGCGTAGTTGTAGTTTTATTCGTCGTTCGTGAGTTATAGCGTCGCAAACATGGAGCAAAATAAAGAGAAAATACTTCATATTTTCCAGTACTACCACGATAAAGGCAAAAATGCATCTCAAGCCGCCAATAAATTTTGTGCAGCTTATGGACCCAATACAGTTTCCGCACAACGATGGTTTCAACGTTTTCGTTCGGGTGTAGAGGTGGTCGAAGATGCGCCACGCTCCGGAAGGCCTGTCGTCGAAAATTGCGATAAAATCGCTGAATTGGTCGAAAGAGACAGCATAGGAGCAGCCGTAGCATCGGTAAAGAGCTGAGCATGAGTCATCAAAAAAAATTTTATGAACAATTGAAAATTCAATAAAAATACCGCAGTTAGAATCTGCTATCTTTATCGATTTTCCAGTGAGAATTTTTTGACATTTCATTCATTGAAAGTGAGGTGATTGCTTTTAAGTGTCAGTATGTTTGAGTCAGCATTAAATTTTGTGTGTGTGAATTCATCAAAAATCATTATTAAAATTCATGAAAATGGAATTGGACATCTCCAAAACATCGATTTATCGCATTTTGAAAGAATATTTGGACCTACGAATGGTGCGTGCACGGTTTGTTCCGCACAAATTGAATGACGACCAAAAATTGCTCAGGATCCAACATTCAATCGACGCTTGTGACCGTTTGACCAAAAATCACATTTTAACCATTAACCACGACTTCTTCCTTTTCGGAAAAATGCATTTTTCCATGAAAGGAAAGCGTTATGCAGACTTAGAGGCCATTCAAAAGGCTTGTACCGTGTATGCAAAAAGCTGTATTAAAGCAGAAGGAGACTATTTTGAAAAGCATAAACTTACTTTGCCGAAAAAAAAAATTTTTTTAAATCCTGTTTACTTTGGAACGCTCCTTGTAAAGCTGAACACATTAGTAAAACTTTGGCTGCATATAACTTTTAACCGGACCTTTTTTAATGGAAATAGTCCACCGAATCGTTTTTGTAGAGCGAAAAGTTTTGTATTTGATACCACTTTTTCAAAATTTCAGATTTACAATGATCATCCAGTATAACAAATCCAGATTCCCCAAAAAAGAACAGAAACTGCGAGTTTAATGGGGAATGTGTATTATCATCCGAAAGAACTGTCTTTACTTTCTCTCGAAAACTCGTAGCGTCGAATCATGAGATGTAGTCATCGTCCATGCCTCTGCACTAAATAGCGGGATGGAAATAACATAGAGTGACATGGAGTTTTTTTTTTTTTTTAATTCGTCAAGAGAGGAGTTTACTTTCTAATTGCCTACTCAATCCGAAGTGGCATCTGTTAGCAAGAGTTATTCTGCGTTTAATTTCAAGGCTGACATTGTTGTTCGTGTTAATACTGGTTCCAAGATAGACGCAATTGTCTACGACTTCAAAGTTATGACTGTCAACAGTAATGTGAGAGCTAAGTCGCGAGTGCGACCGCTGTCTTGCCCTCGTTCACTACCAGACTTATTAATTTGCTTCGCCGCTTTCTTATCCATTGTAGAGAATTTCCACAATTTTTAAACGTTGTTGGTGCAAGTCTTCCCATGATGAAATGCCAAACAGTACTGAACAAAAATAACACGACTGCTTGACACGACTCACGAGTAATCAGTCAAAAAAATATTTGAATCACCCGTTACATTACGAATGATAATAGTCATAATTCTTTGAACTCGTTCTTTTGACCCGGTAAATCTTCTTTATTCAAGTTTGTTTCACAAATCTGAGTTTTAGAAGTTTTCTCTTAAAGTTGTCATCTCGAATTGAATGTTTCTAAATATAAACAACATGTAAACATAACAGTTACAAATGCAGTTTTTTTATAACCTAAGGTAAGTATGAGGAGATTTATTGTAACATTTACGAATACGTACCTACTATATACATATACATGTACACGCAAGCAGGGAAAGGCTAACTCCGGGTGACACCGAACATTTTATACTCTTGGAACTTGCAAAAATCAAAGAGGGGGAAATACTTTAAGGTGTAAAACCAATCGTTTAGAGTAAAAAAGTTTTAAAACATTTTTCCCACATATGCCACTTGCCGCTGCGATCTGTACCAAAATACAGCTCTATTTCTTAATTTAGTGCTTAGTTATGGCACTTTATAAGTTTTCGGTTAATGACGATTTGTGGGTGTGACAGTGGTCTGACTACTTGATTTTTTTTTTGTACCAAGGGACCCATGTACCAAGTTTCATCGAGATATCTCAATGTTTACTTACGTTACTGCTTGCACGGACGGACAGAAAGACAGTCAACCAGATTTCAACTTCTCTTGTCGTCCTTATCATTTATATAGTGTATATAACTGTATATCTATATCGATTAGTTTTAGGTAGGTCTTCGCCGTCAGGTGAAGAAAACTATAATATTCTGCAGCAACTGGATGCAAGAATATAAAAATGGCTAATACAGATAATTGTGTCAAAATTCATAATATTTTATTCACATTTAAAGTATATTGCTAAATACTTTACCTCGATATGGCACTGTTTGGTACTTCTAAATTTCCTGATACATCACCACTTGTTATCATATGGGTACCATGCTCCAACTTGCTGTTCCCACTTGCGGCTCCAGTTCCAAGTTCAGCATTGCCAGACGCGCTAGCTGTACCGCCAAATGATTTATGCGCAGAGTTTTGCAAGTGATCGCCATTATATTTAGAACTAGAGAAGTTCACATCAGCATTTGTGGTGGCATTAACATTAGGTTTGGAATTTGAAGTAGAAGATGCTGTGCGACCTTTTGGTGCAACCACCACGGGATCGTCATCGCCTTCCTCCTCACTTGAACTGGGGTCAATCATGGTTATTTACAATAAATCGTATCTCGTACGTTTTCCTTTTTAGATTAAATTTGGTATTCGCTCAGTAATTATACAATAAATCTAAAAAACAAGAATGTAACAGACGATATATATAAATAAATGACGAACAAATTATGCACATAATTCCAGAAATTCATGTGAAGATTCTGAATAGGAGAGAACAAAACATTTTAAGGCGTTCTCAAAACCGAACTATTCTAGATCTACTACACTGCTCTCGATCTCGTGTTTGGCTCCCAGTTTCCCCCTGAAGAAATTGAGGACTGAAAGCTCTGACTGTAGAGGAGTCGCTAAGTCCTCTTAGAGATACCAAGGAGGCTGTAAGCTATTACTTCGAGAGTGTGATTCTACGGATCGTCCCAAAGTATGCTAGAGCGTATGAACCAGACTTAAGGAGTGACGGTCAAGACCCGAACGCAGATGAAAATCGACATCGTCCCTTCCGCGGATCGTCAAACGATGGATATATCTTCAGTCTCGACCAGCTATTCGAAAAGGCCGGCGGTGGTATTGATAGTGGTTTATATCGCTGGTATCGATTAATCTCTTCCTCTTCCGAACGTTAATACCGGGGAAATTTAGTTGGTATTGGCCAATTTGCACAATGACGACGTGGTAGAACTACCTTCAGAGTTGTTGAAGAATAATCAGCCAGAGGCCGGAGCACTTAATCTGGAAGAGCTCGAACACAAATGCTTGGGGTGCACAACTCCAATATCTGAGACCTTTAACAATTATGGTTGATATTAATAATTATTAGATTTGAGATGGCTTAGTTTAAAACTTTCATTATTTATTGTCACTATTTTTGCAAAGTTTTATAATGATATTTTCGCAAATAATTAAGTGAAAGAATCAGATGGAATTTGAAATTGTGTTATAATATATAAGAAGTAGAGTTGCTTCTGTTCCAGTTTTCACAGAGTAATGTACAAATATCAAAATTATGTTACATACCAAATTTGAAAATAGTCGAGCAGGCCCTGTGATATGGGTTTTCGACAGTGATGGAAAGGTCCCACAATTGTGCATTTTTCTGTCTTTTCAACTTTAACTTGCACTTTACACATAATCGACTACTTTTTGACATATTTGATGAAAGACGTAAAAGTAAAGGCTGGCATCAAAGCCGTCTAAGAAATGCGATGCACGGGACGAAGATAGAGACAAGTAAGTCCTTGTTTACTATAGCGGCCTTATAAAGAAGTCTATATTCGTTGTGGGATTAGTGGTGGAAAAAAGTCAGTCATCGATTCCTGGCATTTAATGCGATGTATGAGCCGCAATCCACATCATGCATATGGCTGATTTGCCTCCCATGCCCCTACGGAAGAGACGGACAATATGACCAAATATCTCTGCAATGAGCGTCTGAGGTGCGCTTATAATCACTGTCACTGTCAAAGGGCCTTTAGGTCTGGAAAATCAACAACGGATCAGATATTTAACATGAGCCAAATCTTGGAAAAGGCCCGTGAAAAGAGAACACACATCATCACTTCGTCGATTTCAAAGCTGGTTTTGAGAGCAGCTCCTTATTCTGAAGTAGGTATGCCCGCAAAACTAATACGGCTGTGTAAACTGATATTGAGCAACACCTAAAGCTCCACCAGAATTCGGGAGGAACTCTTTGGGGAGTGCAATACAAAGGAGATTCTGTATCGTGTGACTTTTTCAATCGATTGCTGAAGAAAATAATATGAGCTGCAGAACTAAATAGGTAAATTTGCTATCTTCTTTATCGGCAATTTTATCAAGGTCTAACTATCCGTTTATTGAGGTCTGGTTAACTTTACCAAAAGAAAGGCTCTTGGTTAATTTCTTACCTGAACAAATAATGAAAGTTGCAGCGTAAAACGTATGAAGTTTAGCGTTAAGTACAATTAATTGCAAGTTTTAGCTCATATACGGAATTCAATAAAACACAACATGTCCAAACAATATTTTTTTCTAAAAACCAACAAAAAAGGTTTCTAAATGGGACCAGCTCACGAAATTGTAAAAACAGCTTGAAAACCAAAAAGTAAGGCTACGCGAGTGCGAAAAAAATTAAAGCTAAAGTGAGAAGGCAAAACGCAATGAAAAGGAAAAAGCCTGGGATGAGAGTACCCCTTTTGATGACGACCATGGCAAACGAAATAAGGACTACGAATTGAGGGCATACACATGGAATGTCCGGTCTCATAATTGTAAGGTGCCGCTGCCCAGCTAGTTGATGTCCTCGTGAAAATAAAGGCTGACATCATCGCCGTCTAAGAAATGCGATGGACGGAACAAGGACAGAGACGAGTAGGTCCTTGGCGCATTTACTACAGTGGCCATATAAAGTAGCGCAAGTTTAGTGTGAGATTCGTGGATCCGTCGCCGAGTACTATCATTTACCCCGCTGGATACACGTCTAGCCACAATCCTCATCAAAGCGAAGTTCTTCAACATATCGCTGATATGCACCCACGCCCTGAAGGAAGAGATGGACGATGTGACCAAACACAAGGAAGGTTCGACGTTGAGAAGCTGCAATCACAACAGACATCCGAACGATTTTATACTCTGCTTGCACTCCTGCTCTCTGAGAGCACTCGTCTCAACAACTCGGTATAAGGGAACTGTACAGCTGCAACCGAAACAATTGGTTTTCGGAAAGTGCAAAAGAACAGCTGGTACGACGAGGAGTGCCGTGTCGCAGCAGAGAGAAAACAGGTTGCCTACCTCGCAACGTGACGATGGCCCAAAACACGTGTGGGATAAGACAGATACCGAGAGTTGAAGAGGAAAGCGAGACGCATTTGTAGACAGAAAAAGAAAGAGGCCGAAATGCATGAGTATGAAGAGCTTGATAAGCTGGCCGACAGGGGTAACGCTCGAAAATTCTACGAAATACTTTTGTAGAATCCCCAAAGGCGATCTAGTCACCGATTCCCAGAGCATACTTAAATTATGGAGGGAACACTTCTCCAGTCTGCAAAATGGCAGTGAACGCACAACGCCAGGAGAAGACGAACCCGATTCCCCAATCGATGACGATGGAGCAGACGTCCCATTGCCCGACCTTGAAGAAGTTCGAATAGCAAGTACTAGACTGCAGAAGAACAAAGCGGCGGGAGCCGATGGATTGCCGACCGAGCTATTCAAACACGGCCGCGAAGAACTGATAAAGAGCATGCCTCAGCTTCTTTGTAAAATATGGTCGGACGAAAGCATTTCTAACGTTTGGAATTTAAGTGAGCTATGCCCAATCCATAAAAAAGGAGACCCAACAATCTGCGCCAACTACCGTGGGATAAGCCTCCTTAACATCGCATATTAGGATCTATCGAGCGTATTATGTGAAACATTAAAGCCTACCGTCAACAATTGATTGGACCTTGTCAGTGTGGCTTTGGACCTGGCAAATAAACAACCGACCAGATATTCAGCATGCGCCAAATCTTAGAAAAGACCCGTGAAAGGAGAATTATTACGAAGATGCCAGCATAATGGTTAATTCAACTTTAAAGCAAAGATATAAAAACCTTAAAGTATATAATAAATTCTTCATGAATGGACAAAATAGGAAAAGGCGAGCATTATGCGAGTTCGTGCATTCAATTAGAAATATTTTCGGCAACAAAAATGATACAACAAAATTATTTAATAACGAACTAATAAAATATCAAAATGCTGACTACATGACCTTGATGTTTCAAATATTAACCCTTTGAATAGGAATAGTTATGGAGGAATGTGAAGAAATTCAAACTTCAATAACCAATCTCCTAATTGACATAAATCATTTTCGCATAAATCCAAAACTATTAAAGCCTTCACAACTTAATGATGAAATTACATTCATTACAAACAATCTCAAAATTAATACTACCTGGATAGCAACCAGGTAATAAATTGAAAGAAATTTATAAATCAATGACTGCTAAAGGTTTTATTGTTGATTCATGGCTAGTCATAAACATAGAAATCTCCTTAATATCGTATGAACCGTCACACGTATAAAAATTAATTCAGAAATAAAAGCAGAATATTTAGTATACAAGTTTGATTTGAATAAATATTCACTTATATATAAATCAYGTAGATCTATCTTGGGTTTGGAAATCAGCGATTCAGTCACAAAATGAAGCATGTGAATTCAAACCTTCTACAAATGAAAATGTTTAGATAAAATTGTCTTCTCAAAATCGTTGGCTTTACAAATTACACTGGTAGACAGATTATTTGTGATATGAAAATTCTTAGGTGTTTTTAATRCAGTTTGATACACTGAAGCCCAATCWGAAAACAGAATTTTTCCGTCACTCACATATATTCTGTAACATGCGACTTTAGATTTTACAATACATAAAATTCCATTATATTGCATCATCTCATATTTTCGTACGATCAGGGATTTGTCCGGTTTATACCGGTTCTGCCTCCTTATTTGAAGTAAACAGCGCATTTTATTTTATTTTATTTTACAAAATTTWTCAGTAGAGTAACGGTGTCAGGTTCGGTTACGTGTTCTATGTTTTGATAAGAAAACGTTTTTGAGTTCACATTCTTTTACGTTTTTGAAATTACTATATTGAAGATTTTTAGGTACAATGCCTAGGCACCGCGTAAATAGTGCCATTTTTTAAATCGCAAAAACGTAATTTTACTCCGCTAGTACTAAAAGCTTACGAACTGTATTTTTATGTTAAAGTTGGGAACCAAGACAAAGCATGAGCTCCTCATATCTGTTGTAAAACTTGTGTAA